TCAGACTATCAGTTAAGCAGTTTCTCAAATGGCTGACGAAAAAAGTTACGGAAGAAAGAGAAAGAAAGAAGAAAGAAAGAAGAAAAACCGGACAATAAGAATAGGGGCCTCGCCCTTCAGGCTTGGGCCCTAATTAAAGCCGCAAGCGGCGTCACTGGGGCCCAAGCTGACAAGATTATGTTTCATAATTAATAAGGTCACATGTTAGACATTCAGGTAGCTTGAATTATCAGTAACATGAGGTCGAAATGAAGTTGTTACCATGTATTTACCTGGTCTGGTTATTGTGATATGGTTTTCAAAATATATAATGAGCCATGTGTTTATGGATAAAAATGAGGTTACATGATCATATATGGCCAATTCTTATGTCAGTTACATCTTTCGTTTGATGCCTTCATTATGGTACAAGTTACATATCCTGTTCTGTAACAGTGTTACAGATATGACTGCTATGCATATTAATGAGTTCACATGACCATATATGGTCACCTGTTATATGGTAATCTGTTATTATAATCAAATCTCTTGTTCACTGTTGTCATAATAACACAGAATTCATCTTCCTAACTGCAACAGTGTTTAAGATATAATGGTTATGCATATTAATGAGTTCACATGACCATATATGGTAATCTGTTATTTTAATCAAATCTCTTGTTCACTGTTGTCATAATAACACAAGATTCATCTTCCTAACTGCAACAGTGTTTAAGATATAATGGTTATGTATATTAATGAGTTCACATGACCATATATGGTCATCTTTTATTTTAATCAAATCTCTTATTCACTGTTGTCATGATAACACAGGAATCATCTTCCTAACTACAACAGTGCTTGAGATATAGCAGTTATGCATATTAATGAGGTTAGAAGCCCCCCACCCCACCCCATGGGTGCGTAGCCACATGACCTAGCCATATGCCATTCAGGGGAAAGAATGTATCTAAAGAGTAGAATACACGTACAAAATTTTATTCCAATCGGACCAAGACAACACATGTAACAATTTTTGTTTGCACAATATCCAAGATGGCGGCCAAATCATGTGACTGATCAAAATTATATTATTTTTCTCATATGGAGCTATGGCCAGACATATTATTGATGAAAACATCTAGTAGATCAGTTGAAGCACCTCTGAGAAACAAATGTCCAAAATTTTGGTCAATTTTGCCTAAAATCCAAGATGGCGGCCAAACCATGTGACTTATCTGAATTTTTTCTTCGATATCTGAAAGAGGTCACTATAAAGCTGCAATTTAGCTGATTAGAAAATGATCACATAATTGTGGCTCGATAAAAAAAACTACTTCTTGTCTAGAAGAAATCCAAAAATGACGACCAAACAATGTGACCAATCATAACAATTTTTTCAAACTTAAATGTGCTTCGTATATTGAAGCTAAATTTCATATATGGAAGCATTTTGTTTGGTGGTTCTAAAGAAGAAGATTTTCAAGCGTTTTTTCCCGTTTTTGGGAGAAAAAACTTAGCGCAAAAAGTTGAGGTTTACGTTTAGAATTTTTTTTCAAATATCTGTTACACATGAGTTGTACTATATGCCATAAAAAAACCCGATCTCTTAGACCCTCAGAAAGTGGTTAAATAGCCACTTCCTGTTTAACTTCAATCCAATATGGCTGCCGAACTAATTGACCAATCAAAATTTTAAAAGTCTTAAGCACCAGTTCACAATAGGGACTACAAAATATTCTTAGTTTCAGACTATTTCGTTCAGCGGTTTTCTCAAACAACTCGACGAAAAAAATTACGGAAGAAAGAAAGAAGAAAGGAAAAACTGAACAATAACAATAGGGGCCTCGCCCTTCGGGCTTGGGCCCCTAATAAAGTCCCTTGGTATACCTACCTAGGAAGATTGCTAAATACCCGAACGAATCTTGTTTGCACTCACTGTAAACAAGCTAAGTTTTGTTATTTTAGGAGATGACTGCTTGATGACATCACAAGAACTTGACAGAATTGCTGCTCAGGGGGTGTAATATGGAAAAATATTACATTGCTTTAAGTCAACCCTCCGAAGAGTTGTTATGAGTTATCATTACCTGCGAGTGCCTGACACTGAAAGCATACTTCACATAAACCTTAAGATACACAACATGATACATATATAGAGTAGCTGGAGGCATTTATTTAATTGATAGCATTCCACAAATTTTAATAAGAAAAATGACTAAGGTACCTTGGTTGATGCGCATCTTACAGCCATACTTCTATCTACCAGGGCATTTCGGGCAGCTTTGTAAATTTCTTTATGATACGACTGTGCTACAGTACCTAGACCAGCCAGGATCTTCTGTAAACATAGCATGATTTCACTCCGGCCCTGGGACTACACAATTAAACACAAACGATGGTAATTATTACATTTTATTACATATACATATCATCATGAGTTACTGAATATGTCATGCAAAATCAACTCCCTCAGATCAAAATTGTTTACTTCATGTAGAATTGAGACAAGAGTTTCCATCCCTAGTGACAGTGGTTGCTATCGATGCCATGACTGAAAAAGCCATTAGGCAGTATTAAGTAGCACACAAGTAAATTTAAGTATATTCAGTATCTTAGCAACTAGGCAGTAAAAGCATTCAATTTCAACCCAATGTTCGTATTTTAGAATTTAACTGTTCACCATCACTGACTGATTATAATTATGTAGAAATTTGGATGAATTTAAATACAGGTCTCATCTGAAAATATTTCCATCCAGATACCAAACAGATATGTATGCATTATTGGGAGGTAGAATTTAGTCGCCACAGTAGGTGGTTGATTGGGTTTATTGCAAAATTATCTCAGTAAGCAGCTACTTTACTCACCTCAGCATTTTTCAATCCTTTCACCAAATTCTGAATATTTTCTGGGAATGTCCCTCCAACCATTCTGCCAAGTTTTTCATACATTGCACCAATACAGGCAACAGCGGCCCTGTAACACATTGTACATCACAATATATTTGTAAAGCTGAAACGAATACTATTTATGAAGTACAGCAATTTATTTTCAGCAATATTATAAGTGACATTGATAAATTTTGTGGTACATTTATGAATTCAACAATAATCATGATTTTTTTGATTTGGTAGCTCAAACATTCATTACGACTACTCTAGCAGATCAACAAATAGCCTTCAATAGTGTTCACCCAGTGATGCAAAAATAGGCAGAGCTATAAAACTGAATTTGCCATTTGCTTTTCACAGCATTTAAAGGATATCTTGATTCAAATATTGACCGCATTTCAGAGATCTGTCACTAAAATTTCTACTAAGCCAATATAAGAAGGTTTTGGGATTGCATAGTTTTATTCTCAGCTACAATCCTTATTAAAACCACAGAGTAGATAGTGATAAAATTAGAGTGTTTTGGAGCATACGAGATTAAACTCAATTAACTTCCTGTTCCATTATCCATGATTGGGAGGAAAGTAAAACGAATCAGGAAAGCACATGTATACAATCTTATAATTAGACAGGAGATAAAATCATAGATACGGATAGTAAAGGATGATGTAAATTATAGTAATATAGAAAATTATTAATCCAAATATTTTGCCCACAAAAAAAGGTCAACAAGGTCTAATCAAGACTGATAGTCTAGGGATGTTATATGAAATCTCAGGGAGGAATTTATCTGAAGGAATAATTTCTTTGACTCAAGTATTTTTATTATACATGTATAGTTATAGTTATTGATAGTCAAATATTTTTTCCTCTGTTCCCACAAGTGCAACATGTAATTTTTCTTATGATTCTTATTTAATAATACCCAATTGAATAAAATGATAAAAATCTGCAGATAAAATAGGCCTTGATTTTTAATAATAACTTGACATTTAGTATCTAGCATTCTAGCATTCAGAGAATGATTAATTGATTGATTGACATTTTCGCCACAGACAAGATTTCCGATAATATCTTTTGATGAGCTGTATTTTTCTTGTTTCTTTTAGATTTTGTTAATGCATGTAATACTGATCCTAAATTAATCTTTACCAAAAGAATAAAGATGAAATAAAATGATGTACAGGTTTGCATGTATACACAAGGAAATAGTACCTATATAGCTATTAACAAAATATGGGTTGTGATTTATGTACCGGTATTTGTAATTGTATGCATGGCTTCAAGACGTACCGAAATGTTGATAGACAATTTAACATTAACATCTGAAATAGTCTACTCAGGCTCCCAAGAATTAAGAATTTGGAGCCTTGATACAGAATTAAAAATACAAGCCCTACATGGCACAGTCACCATTAGTTAACAAATTTAGGTTCCGGAATGCTTGATTTTTTAGCACAAAAATGGCCATCATCTGGCCATTTGGAATTGTTTGTCGAACTAATATATCTGTAAATCTATGACATGATCATGTATAAAGAATAATAACATTTTAACATAATCAGTCAAAGCATGTCAGAGATATGGTCCTAGAATCGCATTCATTAAAACAAAATAACCAACAGTCAGCCAATTTGAGTCTAATCTGAACAAAAAATAATGTCTAATGTATGTACCAAGTTTGAACAAAATCCATTTGTAAACAGTCGAATGCCAAAAATATTGATTTTGATGATTTTTCAGAACAAAAATGGCTACCATTTGGCCATCTTGAATTAGATCGTGAAACAAATTGACGTGCATATGTATAATATTATGTATGATGTATGTGTGAAGTTTGAATGTACATTTAATCGGTCCAAGGCATGCCTTAGATATAGGTCCGGACGCGCACACACTCACGCACGCACGCACGCACACACACACACACACACACACACGCACACACACACATCAATCCATAAGTCCCTGTTATCGAATGGCATACGGACGGGGACTAAAAAACAAATTTGCATTAACTGAAGCTCACTGAAGCTTATGTTTTCTACATAATGAATAATTTTGATAAAAAGTAAATAATTAAACTCAACTTACAGTTTTGCTGGCAGGAAACTTGGAGAATCATCTTTACTTTTAACAATATCATTGCACTTGTTGACGGTTTCAAATAGCGTGAAGGTATCACCAACATGGTAGAGCGTAGCGAGACATTTACCAAGTAACTTTCGTGTCGGTGGCCCAGGAGACTCATGAATCTGATTGGTTAGCTGCTGAACTAATTTATTTTGAGACTCTTTGATGTCAGACTAAAAAAGAAATAATAACAAACAAATTTAATTCAATGAACAAACATTACACTACATATTTTTTGGGGGTTTCAAATTTACATCTTGATGTGGCGCATGTAATTCATATTTGCCAATTGTGATGATTTTGAATGCCAATTTTTTTTATAGGATTTTATTATTAAATTAATACTCATCTAAAAAAGGCACCTTTGACTGAATTAACATGACGATACAAAATTATGTCATTACCAACATGGCCACTAGTCACTTGATTATAATCAAACTGACAGCACCTGTAGCCAATCATGTGTGAAGTTCATACCAAGTTTGAATAAAATCAACATAGCTTGCCAGGTTGATATGTTTTTTGAAGATTAAATTTCATCTGAATCAACAATAACTGAAGAGAATATGCAACCCATAATGTCTTGCCTTAGTACCAAATTCTGTGAAAGTGTATTAGGAAAAATAAATTGACAACATGAAAAACAAAAAGGTTTCCAGTAGGCCATTTTGAATCCAATTTTACTGAATGGCGAAATAAAATGAGTGCTGTCAATGGGGAAAAATATTGATCAGTCTGTTAAGAAAATGAAATATGAAATCAACATGCATGGATTGTATTTATACGTGGATCTTTATGACTTGTCTGTATGATGATGGATGGATAGACAACATTAATATGGAACGAGTTTTCAAAGTCACAACAAATTAGGAACTTATAATTGAAACAGGACCCTTTACACTGGAAAAGTAGAGCAATGGAGAGGATATTGGATGAAGGCATATTTTATGTGTGTGGAATGGTATAATGACTGGGTGGTGGTATGGCAGAAGTTTAGAAGCCATTTCAGGAATGCAACAAATACATCTTGAAACTCAAAGAAGTGAGTGTCTTTATGTAGTAAGGCGTATCAGTCCATGATTGGATTGTATATTGAAAATTTCTGAAGATATCAAGTACAATACAAGTACATATGTATCAGAAAACAAATTTAGAATTTACAGGGAACATATATGAAATATACATGTACTGGGCCACATTCATTCAATCTGCTGTTTACTTCATTCGCATGTATATATACTGTATATCATGTAAAGTCTGAATATGTACACTTCAAGAAAAATTGCATCACTTGCATGAAAAAATCATTAAATACTGAAGTCTACTGGTATCATTCGATCCATCTCGTCTGGTGAACATAATTATAGGCAAACATATCTCAGAAATGATGCCATGTTATGATGCTGAAACATGTACTAAAAGCCACAATAAAATAAAGACACTCAGATGATGTTTCCAGCTGTAAAACAACCAATGAATTATGCATGACCAAGTAGACAGTCACTGCTGGGGTTGATAACATGAATAATGTAAATGGTTTGTATCAAAATGTTTTCATAGGATTCAGCACCTGTAGTGATGCATGTGACCAAGAGCATACTGTGATATAATGAAAAGAGAGAATGCATCCTTGTATCTCTACATGCATCTCTTATATATATCACAGATTCTAGATATTCTGTATTAATACATTGATTGCAAGGAAACCAAAAAGTAATAAAACAATTCACATTTTAAATAATTATTTATTTCTGAAGAAAACTGGTAAAATTGTTTGTGATATTTAATGTTCAAATTACCAGTAAGATATTGTATTTGCTTTTTTAGTGACTGTGGTCAAAAGAAGTCACATTTTAATGATCCAGTAAAAAAATAAATACAATTTTTGGTTTATGTGAGCATCTGATGAGATGCACTTCTAATAGAACAAATATGGTATAATTATTTTTTGACAAAAATGGATCAAATATTATATGAACATTTTGAGGAAAGCTTCCATAGAACAAAACAAAACATAGTATTTTATATATTCATTGTTAACCAAATTTTGAAAAATTATCATGTCTGTCATTCAAATTTGTGATATCAGGAGCCATTGATAAACACCATTCGTATTTCATATATTTAAAAAAATAGTATAATCAAATATATTTTTTATATCCTTATATAGTCTGACCCCTGACAGAATGATGTAGTTTTTCACTTCCTTTGGTGATTTTTTGACGGTACCAATCAAATTGCAGGAACGCAAGATAGTGACAGCCATCAAAGATTAACCATTCATGGCAGAGTCTATTTTGTTGTTGACACAATATGTCATAAGGTGCTGACAACTTTCCACCTAATGTTTATCATCTTGTTGAAAACAGTGTATGATTTTTGCTGACAATGCAAACACGGCTTTCATTGATGGTGTTACCATGACCACCAAAATGAATATTCATTGAACTCATTGCAAGAAGGCGTGAACTTTGCGAATTCGCAGTATTGATTTTGAAAAAAATTGTTATACTGTAAAAAACTTCATTTTCACTTGGAATTAATTTTCGCTATTTTTGCTGAATGAATGTTGCAGTGAAAATAAAATCCAGCGAATATACCTTTTTTCCCATATTTTACATTCAACTAGGCAAAAATCAGTGAAAATAAATTCCATAACAAAACACCCAAAATGTCTTTTCAGTGAAAATTAATTACAGCTAGAAAAAAAAGTATTTTAGAGTATATAAATTTATAAGTATTGTTAAAAAATAGACAAAGACTATTTTACTTTTAGGTTCGGAATATGTCACCATGATTCAATATGCAAATGAATAGAGCAATTTCAGCTAATACTACAGAACATGAGTGTCTTGACAGCTCAGCTGGGCAAATCACAACAATTCAATCAAGAATTCACAACAATTCAATCAAACCAAGTTACAATGTAAGTGTTCTGAAGCACTGTGCATGTGATTAAGTGCTGAGACATCAGCAATTTTAGCCAGAGATGGTAAATTACAGCAATAATTATGAAATACATTTTTTTACAATTCAGATTTATAATATCTTTATTATGATTTGTCACAGACTATCCCTATTTCCTGTGTTTCTAAAATGGAAACATGTACATTGTTAAAAATTCAATTCCGAAAGTGATTTATTTTTATTACCTCAGTATGTTGTGTAAGCCCATATAATAAATTAGGCCCAGAATGAAAATGTTAGCTAAAAATGTGCACAAAGTACCTTTTTTTCAATGTTTTTTTCAGAATTTTAGTAAAAATGAAGAAAAATTCAATTTTATTGAAAAATAAATAAAAACATGACAATTATAAAATGAAAAATTTTGTATGCATCAATTTTTGGAATTAAAATTGAACAGAAAATTCTTTTCTTTAGCGCCTAACCAGCACATGTAACACAATCTGTTTTTTTTTCATGACCTAGTAATTATTAATGGTTAAATTTAGACAAAATATTAATAGTTGATGGTTCAAAACTATAACTATTGGAAGAAGATCATTCAAGTATCTGTGATCCAAATGATTACATATTACTGTGATATGTGAATTAGTTGTTGCAATAAATGAGATGAATGTCTGGTGGAATAATGTTCTCAAATGACAGCCTTGAAAATAATAGATGATGTAATGAAGTGAAAAGACTTGTTGTTTTACTTAGATTACTGACATTCTAGTATATTGCACCTACTGTGTGGTAACTCAGAGAGATCACATACCAAATAATTAAGCATTGCTTGATCATATTATATGAGATTATTAGATCACTGTACAAATTATAAGGTTGGTTAATCACAAAAATGATTCTGCTAATTTGTCTAGATTATTTTAATCTAAAGATTCAAAAATAAACAATATACAAGAAAAGGAAGCATATCCCAAACGGAGACTACATATGTAGACTAATTTTAACATGCCAAGCTGTAGAAAATGTAGATAACTTGGGTCAAGTGTACAGTTTCATGATAAACATGGAGAACTTCAAAAGGTCAAGTTGGGTGAAGTACATGTATACATGCCCAGTAGGTTGCACACTTAAACCTTCTAAATGAGGATAATTCAACAGCAAATATACATACCGGTACAAGATTTCAAATAGTGGTAAATGTTTGCATCTGTTTTTTGTGTCCCCACACGGCCAAACTGAATTACATTGCTAAATATACAGTCAAGTATATTAACAGTCACAATATGTCTCAAATTTTCTGGCAGTTTAGGTTGTTTAAATATGTATATATTAGACCTCTATATATATTGCTAATATTGCCCAGAATTGTCAACTATTATTCTCGACCCCTTCAAAAATACAGACATATTTAACAATAAGTATACAGACAACATGTGCACGACTATTGTGTGAATTCACATATACATGTAACCTGTAGTTCGAAAATTTCTAAAGAAATCACGTTTTTACTAACAAGCAGCCTATCGGCTGAGATAGCTCCGCTGTTAGCAATGCACATTTCAATTAAAGAACTGAAGACATCATTAGAAAATGAACAATATGTATAGTATCAAAGCAATTGGACTTACAGTTTTTAACAAGAATTCAAAAATATAATTTTTAACCATAAATGATTGTGGTTTTTAACAAGAAGAAAATATCACTTTTTACCAAAAATGACAAAAATATTCATCAAAATTAGAGAATTGAAGATATCATCATGAAATGAACAATTTGAGAGTGGTCCATATGTAGTATCTATATATGTAATATCAAAGCAATTGGACTTGTCGTTTTTAACAAGAAGTCGATAATATCACTTTTTACCAAAAATGACAAAAATATTTACCAAAATTAGAGAATTAAAGATATCATTACAAAATGAACAAATCTGAGAGAGGTCGACATGTAGTACCTATATATGTAATATCAAAGCAATTGGACTTGCGGTTTTTAACAAGAAGTTGAAAATATCACTTTTTACCAAAAATGACAAAAATATTCACTAAAATTAGAAAATTAAAGATATCATCATGAAATGAACAAATCTGAGAGTGATCCACATGTAGTACCTATATATGTAATATCAAAGCAATTGGACTTGTGGTTTTTAACAAGAAGTCGAAAATATCACTTTTTACCAAAAATGACAAAAATATTCACCAAAGTTAGAGAATTGAAGATATCATTACAAAATGAACAAATCTGAGA